AAATGTAGACTCATCTTTGTAGACTGATGGTGCAGCATCTGGTGCTCTGATGTAATTTGTTTTGCAAAAATCAAAAAATCAAAGCATTGTATAACTTTTGCCTATTGCAGTACAATTTATTAGAGTCTCTGTTGAATTAAACGCTGGACATTTTATTAATTTGAACAGGCGATTTTTAAACATTTCTATTAAATCAAAGTTTGAAGATATCTGTCAATTACATTTTGTCAAAGGTGCCCAAAATACGTGAAAATAATTTTAGGTGTTAGTTTTACTTGGGAACGACTATCTTCTTTTTGCCTCTCCTATCACTTAGCTTTCTGTTCTCAAATCTGTGACCTAGTGTTTGCTGTTATTAGGCATCCGTCTGTTTTTCCTATTGAATTGATTCTGCTCCAAAAATGTAACTGCGCCAAGTTTAACGTGGCTCTATGTTTGAGTGGGAAAACCAATTTAATAGGAAGTCCCTAACTAAAGGGAATAAAGAAAAATACAAGCTTTGCAGTAACGTGGTTTTGAAAGCATGTCTAGCTATTTTCTGGTTTTCAGGGCAAAAATGTCCATCGATGCAGTAAATTAATGAAACGAATTTGTAAATTTTTCAATGCAGTCAATAAACTGATACCCATGTTTGCTTTTCGACGGTCTACGTTCGGACTTACTTAGGAGCGCTAGTCCTAAATGTCCAAATAAAACTTCATATAAGTGAAATCTGAGTTGCGCAAATAGGTTTTTAGTTTTGCTAAAACGGATTGCACAGCCACATTATTCTTATTGCTATATGCACATCCAAATGACCTCGCCAAACACAAAATGGGGGGCTTTTGAGCAAAAGTGCTTATCAACATCCCTCTGACTGGTAGATTTTTTTGCGACAATTTCAATTCAGTTTTCAAGGTACTGGCTTCCGCTTGGTCAGAAATAATTTTATCGCTTTCCTTTACCCTTCTAAAAAACAATCATGCATTCTTAAAGTCAACTTTGGCCTTCATTTTAGTTTTTAGCTAAGGTTTTCCTGGCCAATAAAACGTTTCATAGAGTAGTTAGCTCTTAGTACCTGTTAGATTTCACGTGGAAGTCAAAATATTCATTGTTTTCTATGGTCGTGCCTGTAGCAGTAGCGCTACCCAAGATATAATCGCTTCATGTCATATCAAACTTTAACAACCTCAAATAGATTGATTAAAACCTAGAAAACGTCCATTGTTTCTACCCATAGACATTGCGATGTTGCGAAATAATGGTTTCACCAGGTATTCATCGCTTTTTGATATTAGAAATCAAAAACAGGTGCATCCATGTTTGAATGCAATTAACATTGGCAGGTAAGGCGCATTCCAGCAGTGTAGCCTTTTCAACTTTTTGTCAAGAACAGGTTAGGTGCAACTAGATGTTTGACTTAACATATCTTCCTCACGACTAACTGGAAAATGCATCGTTTCAAAAAATAATGTTAGATGCCACGTCTACAGAGGATGCCAACTTTTCCAATTCAAAATGTTACTCGTTAATGTTCTTGGTGCTATGCAAAACTCAAAGAAAACTACTTTTTTCTTATTTTCAAGAGTGCGTACATTATTTACATGGGATTGTATCATCATTATTGGTAAATAAAGTGACCAAGATGGATGTGGGAACGTGGATAAACCTCCATCTCTCAAAATATTTACTCAATGCTGTTTTAATACCGTCTTTACAAGGCCTATCTCATATTTTTTCATGAACCTACACTTATAATGATTTTTCATGTTACTCTTAGTTTTCCTGCAGCACAAAAATTTGTGCCTTCAAGAGCTCGAGCCCTCAGCGGAGCGCTGTTCTCACCAGACAGATGAAGCCATCCAGGAAGTCGTTGAAGCCCTGAAGAACCAGTCGACAAACGTATCCCTCGTTCTCACTGGCGACAGTTTCCACCAAAACCTAAAGAAAATCATGCTTCTCTATGAGTGCAAGTGAGTAAACTCATTTTGAATAATTTAGCTAAATAAGTTTTATCTGAATTAAACGACGTTTTTTTCATTAAATACGATTTCCGTCGATTAAACCCACCGTCAATGCCCAACGCAAATGACGAATAAATAAAGCATGTAACGGAAGCAACTGCCGAAAGACCGTCTGTCATTGTTTCATTTGTTATTGGCATGCAATTGCAATACTGTTTTTTTATTTAAATTTGAAAGCGTATTATGAAATGTCAGTCCAGAGAATAGCCAACTGAAATATTTTTATTGTAAAATTAGTGTATTGCCGGAGAATTCAAGGCTCCAATGAACATAAAATTAACTGACTTTGCAATAATTAACGATTATGAACTTACCAAAAGAAAGGTCATAGGTACGGAACCAGAGTCTGCACTCAGCAAAGACGGATGTAAGGCATCGTCTAGATTCATCGGAACTAAATGTTGTAAGCTGTGAGTTATAAGGCGTAGTTTAGTATAATACGTCCTAAATCCCCATCTTCGAGGATATAATTACACCGATTTGACTATGTCCAATTTAAAGCATTTTCAGAATTAGTTGTAACACTTTTTAGGCGCTTTTACTTTTGGCATTTTCGCTGTGTAATTTTTTTACTAACGAGGAAAGCTGGTGCAGATGGATTCCTTCTCCTCTTTGAAATGAAAACAACCAACGTGCATTCCTAACCTTCTCATTCTAAACCCAGCTCTAATCAATTGTGGCAGGTCCAAGTCCAGGTTTTACACGCCGTGGACGTAACCTCTGATAAGTGGCCTTGTCATCACGCTGATTAATTCACCGCATGCTTCTCGATCCTCGAGTGTATAGCCCGTTACTTCTTGTAGCAGATCCTGCTAAAACACCTTATCTGAAATCCTACTGGATGCTTCATCTCTGAAGGGGCGTCCAAAAGGTTATTGTGCACAGGATCAACAACTCCAAACATTGGAAGACATGACGATCTTTACCGCTTTCACTAATTCCCATTTCACAACTTTTTCCGCACTAAATTTTTTAAGCACTACTTGCTGGTTAAAAACAGGCAGATGGTCTGACAGAATGTCAAACACTGGCCCCTCATGGTAAAGCAGTCATGCCGTATCAGAGAGGCGACACACACGTGTATTCTCATTCAATATATCTTAGGCTCCATGTTGTTGTTGCGAATTTCTGATTCAGAGAATAAATGTCTTCATAACACAAACTTGGGCTGCAAGCTTCAATTATTCTTTTGGGTTCTACACTTTTGATTAATTTCTGTTAACAATGCGGAATTTATTGCACACTCGAGTTTGGATTTCACATTTTTGTAGCGCACATTTAGCATATCACCGGAAGCAATCATCAAGCACGATGCTTGAAATCCTCTCATGTGTTTGTCTTAATATTTAGTAGGTAAAAGGTTAATCATAGTTCATTTGAATCAGCAATTCAATTTCAGCCCATTTGTTTACGTAAATGCGATGGAATTAATATTTCGCCTGAATCAGAACGGCGACCTTGCACTCCTTTTGTTCGTTGACACAGCACATTGTAAAAGTGATTTGGCACCAGTCACCAAACAAAAGTCTACGCGTGCGACGTTAAACAGAAATCAATTAATGTACATTGGAAGTGCTAAGCCCTTGGCCAACATAAAGCATGATCGAACTTGATTAAAAACATTGCACATGAACGCATTGATCTTCAAACACATTGTGTCAGTCGTCCACAGCTTTCTTTAGGCCCAAATAATCAAAAATCAACGTGAAATCTTCTGGATATTTCTGATGAACTATTTAATTATTTGGGCAAAATCTTTAGTAGCAAAAATATTTTTGCATCAGTTAGAGCAGAAGTCCGTCACTTCCATTGGCATTTCCGTAATTTACCACCTACGTCGCTTAATTTAAACGGTTCCTTCATATCGACGTTTCCACAGATTCTTGGAGATTTTTCGATGAAATCAGTGTTGCGTCTCACCACCAGTCTCCAAATTAAGCCTTCTCTTAGTGTGTGATTTTTGTTCTAGATGTCCATATTACTAATTTAATTTTTTTATAATCCTCACGATATCAAGCTGTTAATTATCTTAGTCAAAGTGAAACTAGACGCAAATGCATAAGATTCCCAACAGAATTTGTTAAAACTTATTTTTCAGTTTCAATTAGAGGTCACTTTGAGAGGAGAAGGCAAACACCAAGCACTGCACTCCATTTTGTACAAGCAAAAATTTAAAACAACCAAATTTATAATACCCACATTTGTTTTTTTTCCAAATGAAACCGCTGTGTAGTCATTTTTGTTTTCTTTTTAAATAGCCATGTCATTTCATTCTGTATGCATTTCATGTCAAACGTCAAGAGGGCTTTTTTTGGGAAACCAAACAAAATCAAGTTTTACGATTTGCCTAACGTTGATCAGAGGTGGACAATCAAAACATCCAGTGGTAATGATGAAATAAAACTGATTGAGTATCGTACAGATTTTGTTAAGGATGTACCAAGCAGAGGCAACAATTTTAATCCCAGCAGAACTCGAGCATTTAAACAGCCACAGAGTACACTTTTTTGAGCACCAATGGCAAATAAGCTCGTGTCTACATTTCCTGGAAATGCTTTCTTATGGCTTTTCACGCCGACTGAAAAAAACAAAATCCTTTAGTCATGGGAGATCGAAATGTGTCCTTAAATCGACGTGGCGAAAATGACGAGAAAAATATAAAGACATGGTGATGCCTTAAACCAAGAAGCAAATACCATTCAGTTTGAATATTATCTACCTTTTTATTGTTTTTAATGTCAAATTTAGCGTGGGAAAACTTTTGCAATTCGACACTCCCTTAATTGTGTTTGCGGCTAATAAACATCAAACCAAACAGAAATCGATCTTTTTAATTCCTTAATCATTTGTCAAACAGAGCAATGAAGAAGAAACTAGGGTGCCTTCTTTCCCTGCTCTCTTCCCGATGCCCAACAGACGTCGTCCAACTCATAATGAATTACTTTATTGAAAGCCTTCCCGTTGGCTGCCAGTACAGCTACCGAGCTCCTGGCTTCCCGGACGGCCGTTTCGCGAACCCTCCAGTCATGCAGCGGGACGACGGCAACCCGCCCCCCCTCGCGCACACCCCGCAGCAGCTGATCGCGTCCACAAGTGGAGCCACCGCCACCCACCTCTTGCTCCTTCCAATCCATGCAGCCATCTACACCCTGGCTGGCATTTGTGTGGATTAATTAGACAAGCTGAAGCCTGTGATCCTGTAAAATAGCCGTTAATGATCTTGTATATAGTATCAGTTACCTATGTACCCCGACCAACTGTTGTAAATGTTGCATTTAACTGAATGCCAATAAAGATACTTCGCAATTTTGAGTTTTTCCTGGCTTGGCTTAAATCTGGCGCTAGGATCCCCAACTATAAGTGCTGTGGCCACACATCCAAGCGGTCAAAATATGCGAATGGAAAAGGGAAAAAGTTGCTCGAATGTATCTTTTTATGCACGGTATTAAGAACTGTGTTCGCTATATTCGTTTCCTATAATCAAAAAAATTTAAGATGGTTTATAAATCATAGTTTTCAAAGATTTTCAGTAGTGAATAATTTTGCCGAGCACATTTTTTTGTCCCAAAGCAGTATTTCACCTTGTCAGTCCTCATTTGCCGTCTTCCGCATTCGAATTAGTGTCCTGTGAGAAATGTAGTGATGTTAGTGGCTGAACTATAAGGCTACAAGCTTGTGTTTTGTGGTTAAATTGATTAGTTATTTGGTCAAAATAATGCTACGCCTTCTGAGTGATTTGAATAAAGGTAATAAAATAGACAAAAGGCTTTCAAAAATAACACAAGCCGCAAACAGGTAAATTAAAAAATGTACTTACACAGTCTCATCGGGTGAGATAGTAGGTAAATTTGTTAAAGATTAGTATTTTGCTAAAAAAATAGGTTCATGTTACTAACTCATGTAACTGAAAAACGAAATTTCATTGGTGAAATGCATTTATGAGAATACAACTTGTATCACTTTTTCCAGATAAACTTTAAGGGACTGATGCAGTTTAATACTAAGAAAACTGACTGTTTTGTAGTGAGTATTCAACTGAAAACTTGTAGCTATTAAAATAGTCAGAAATTATAACATGCTCTCTAGACAATAAGTCATGCCAGTGATTTTTTCATGCAAAACTGTTACCCATGAAAGAGTGCTTGATTGACATATTATGTACCTACAACATTCTCCGTGTAACATTTTAATTCATAACAAGCCTTGAAAGAATTGGTTTCGAATTAGACTTTGCTTGGTATTCTTTTCTTAATTTGAAATGGCCGCAGGCCTACATCGTACACGGATGCATTTGAGTTGTAAAAAGCCTTGGGTTGCAGTGTCGGTCTGTATATTGTAGTAAGTATGTTGGTAAAGAAGTGCCATCCGAATAATCTGAAAAAAAAATACATTTTGACTTTGCAGAATTTCATCCCACCTAATTTACAGGGAACGTTTCACAACATTACCCTTAGTAAAGCTCATTCATTTTCCTATGCTGTTCACCAAAAAGTGTAGCAACAGATACTGCCGAAAACGTGTAAAACATGTCTGAAAGACCTTTTAAAGGGCGCTTTGAGGACAGCACCAGTTAAACTACTTGCCTCATCATGCTTATAAGTTTCAAGTAAAAAAGTGCAAGTCTAGTTTGTACCTTCTGCGTGAGACCTGTTCGTTGTAAATGCCCCTTGTCTATGAGCGGTGTTTCAGAAGCTGACTCGAAAGTCGAGTATTGGCTGACACAAGAACATACGGTCAGCGTGGTTTGTTGCTTCAAATATTTGAAAGTGGAACACTGGTAGGTCAGCAGACGTTTAAGTCTCCCTCTTTCCATTGAGAAGCCTTTTCTCTACCAGTTCATTTTAGGCTCTCCTTAGACCCAACATCAGGTTTTAACGCTATTCACTAGTAAATAGGGATATAACTTGTTGTCAGTAAAAAATAAAACCACTGGCCGTTTAAAATTTGTTTTCAGCCCTAACATTACATTCTCATTTACATCGCGTCAAAACAAGTAAGCTTAATGCGAAAAGTTTTTCCTGGTCACATGATTTGCTTTAAAAAAATCATTCCGGAGATAAATTCAAGAATGTTTCTAACCTCCCCCAAAACAAAGCTAACTTGTAAAAGTCAAATTTGTTTTATAAAGCCGCTTTAAACCGTGATTTTTGTTACCGAAAGTTCGTTCCTTAATTTTTTGAACTTATTTATAATATGCTAAATAAATTAGTATAATAATCTTTCTGATCAAAAGACACCCTCTTGGACTGTGTTTGCATCTCTGGCTTAAATTGGGTGCATTTGTCTTAAACGATACGTCGCAGACAGAGAAACTCAAAAGCACAAGGTCAGTTTGGATAAAAGAGTTAATGATGTGTCTAAAGAGGTTCAAGAATGTTTCAACGTGACCAGCTCGGTAGTGCTCACTCTTTAGCTCTCAATGGTACCAAAGTATTGAATGTCTTTTGTGGATGAATGTCAGCATTTTTAAGGCTTCCCGAGTTTTAATAAAACGTCGTGGAATACATTAGCTTTTAAACGCCTTTTTAACACGCAAAGATCCGTGGGGAAATCTCAGTTTAATGTATGTTAATCTAAAATTAAAACTTATCATTTCAGCAAGTTAAATACCATGTCAACTTTTTAAAACAAATTCGGTGTCAAAAGATTGCTGTGATGCCAAATCTTTATAAGTGGCCTGATGGCTGTTTATCTTGAACCCTTGTTACCTCATCGTTTTACCACATTGAAAAGTTCATGCACCATTTTGGTTTGCATAAGCTACTCCACTCTTCTTTGATATTAATGTTTTTGGCGGGTTAGGCGTATATTCTAATTGCAAAATCACCTTTTTTTAGAATTTCACTACATTAGCAAGTAAAATTAAGGGTACGGAAATTAAACTATGTTAACAGATGTCGAATATTGTTATAGCCTTGCTCAAGTCTGCCAAAATCCTGGTGAGATGCCAACAGCATATTCTGCATTCACTTATCCTCTGGTCATCCACCATCATGTCAAACAATTGCCTTGTATCGGAATATGATTCTCAACTGCTCTTCACCCAACTGAAACAGCAAACCAAAGTTAGATTGTAAAATTGTCTAGACATTACCTTCATCCATTTATAATCATTTGTTAAACTTGTAAACAGGATATCTGACAGTAACTTACCTTAATTCTAACCCACTTGTATTTGAGAAAATGTACTTGGAGAAGATAAAACTAAGCATAGACAATCCGAAATCGCCATTTCTCCTACACAGAGTTACGAAAATTGTTCGGTTTTATCCAAAAAGTACGTTAAGATAAATATAAGTGGATAACTAGCCTAGTTGCTTACTAATTTTATACATCTAATTAAAATTCACCAGAGCTTTGTTTCTACCGTCATATTTTTTTACTTCAATTTGCAGTAAATCTGTGTCGGTAGGTGCTACTACAAATATTCTGATTGCCGATCAAAAACAAAGGAGATGCTAATATTAACAATGATGCTAATAATTACCTGTTGAATCATGCCGAACTCTGCCCTAGGAGCACATGCCCTCCAACGCTTCATAACTGGTCAAACCGTGACAAACGCCAACGGTCTGATTAACTCCTTCTTCTATTCTTACTAGAGCCTTTTGCAAAATCCTGATCTGCATCATTAACAGCTTTAGAGGGAAACGTCGTCATGTGTTTCCAGTTCTTTCAAGTGGCTTTTTCGGACTCAAAGGCCGCTGGTGCCTGCTTATTGTCAATTTCTTCTTATCCAAGAAAACAGTCTGGCTTTATGTATCAAAGTTACTGTACACATTGAAGTAATCATGTCTACATGTACGTAAGCAATAACAACGTTAATGACTAATCAGCGCAATGTCAATACAAATTGCTTAGCTGTTATAATCGAATAAAATATACTCAATGTCCATCTACGAGCAATCAGATTACAATCGACGTGAATGACTCAAGTGATGTATTAACGTCTTTTCTCCACACTTGAATGCTAAAGCCGACCTCTTATCAGCTCAGCACTCATTTAACTCTCTCAATCCATTCCGAGGAACCTCAGCCTCCGATTTGCTCCGACCTGACTTAACCCAACTATAGTTGTATCTTTGTTTACATGACCTAATCTGATTATATACGACGTATGATACCCAGGAGACCTTTCAGGAAGAAATGGTTGTATCGTCAACATCGTCTTCTTACATCATCTCTTGTCAACAACCAGTAGTCTTGTGTTACCCGCCTCCAACTTTTCAGTTGTCACACTAGACGAAAATGGTCGTTTAATTCACTACAAGGGCTGTAGTATATATCATTAAAGTCATGGTTGTCACCTCCGCCTACGCCTGCCCAGTTTTTCCGTTCAACCTGTGTACTTTTACCTCCTACTCACAAATGAGCAGTTAAAAAGCAGCATTCATCTCATCTGGCTCATTTCGAGTGATGCCAGTAACAGTCACGTCCACCCCCACATCGTGTGCTTCGACGTAGGTTAGTTAAGTCGTTCAATAAACCGTCTAGTTCCCATTGCCTCTCGTTCTTTTATCTACTTTGAGGTCTCTATATTATACCTCGGTGTTCTACCAATTGGTTGTCCTCATGCCGATTTGACTCCCGCATTGGACCTTTGCAGTTAGTTTAGAATAATGATTTCCCTTTATTCAGCTATAAAATCACCAAGATTGCAGAGGTCCCTCTGCTGGTCGCTAACTTACAAAATCGACTTTTAGGAAATAGAAACTGAACTCTGCTCGTGAATGAGTTCTTGCATACTTTTATTCCTGGCTTAATTTCACTTGATTGCTGACTTCTAAGGCGCCCTCGGGCTCACCAGCTCACCTTTTATCGTCAGGTCGTTGTCGCGGTACCCGAATCTCAAAAAATGTCATAGTTGTAGGTAAATTTGCTACAGAGCTGCAAACTCTTAGAGCTCATTACAAATCGAAATTTAATACCTCAAATTTTAAAGCACACCATAAAAATGAAGCTCAACTTAAGGCGTAAATTTCGAATTTTTTACTACACTCAAATTTTCATAGTTTTCGTCTACTGTTAAATAACTATTAAGATGATAGCAAACGATTAAGAAACGCCAGCATGTTTGTAAATATTTTTGGTAATGATTTCATTATTTCTGGCCGATTATGTAGCAATGTGCTTTGTGAAAAAATTACGTGGCTTCATATGAATAAACACATGT